CCCTTTATTTATTTATCAGCACAAATTAAAAAAAAACACACACACATATATACATATATATATATATATATATATATACACATATACATATACATACACACACACACACACACACACTCCAGTGGCTCCCCTCAATTCTACATCTGCTTCATTCAGGGCAGATGTTTTCATTCTGGAAGTTTTAATCAAAACATGTGCATTAAATGCACTTCTGTTTAACATACTTATTTTAGGCATTATTTTTATGATCTGTCACAAAATTACAAGGGGTCATCTTGGGGAGCTCCAGAAAGTAGGGAAAGGAAGAATTCAGATACCATATCTCTCCTGATTGTTGTACCATAGTTAGTACATTAAGTGACTGATGTTCTTGTTCTTTATTAACCTTAATCATATTGTGTAATACCGTGTTCCCTGAAAATAGGATAGAGTCTTATTTTCTTTTGACCCTCAAAATAAACACTTGGCCTTATTTTTGGGGAGGTCTTATTATTTTTGAACGGCAGGAGGTAGCTATCGTGGTCACCTCATGGCTGCTGCTGTATTGCAATATTTTCAGGGTGGGCTTATTTTCAGGGGAGGGCTTATTTTAGAGCATGTGCTCAAAAGCCTGATTGGGCTTATTATCCGGGGAGGTCTTATTTTCAGGGAAACTGGGTATTTTGCAAGCTGTAATCTTTTGAAATGAGTGTGTGTGTGTGTTCTTAATTATATAGGGCCATTTAATACTTTACTCTTTCCAGTGCCCTATAAAAACACCAATAAAATACAATGCATCAATTTAGTAAGTAAATGTGCACATTAATAAATATAATCTTGGTGTGTGAGGAAAAAGATGAGAATCCAAACATTGAATATTGAATTATTTGTTAAATGAATTGTAATTGTAATTAACTATGTATTCTATCAGTGCAGATTCTCTCCCCGCTCCACCTCCCCATTTTGGGTGGCATTGTTTGTTCCTTTTATAATTAATTAATATGCAGGCTTCAATGAGCAACAAAATGGCTCCATTAAGCCACAAATTTTCTACAGCCACACTTCATCAGACCGAGGAAGCGCCTGTTTGAATGATGCGCCCAATTGATGAACCTAACTGGGTTTCAGAAGGAACTTGGGGCTATTCCTGAGGCTATGATACATAGTTCAGTTGATGTCCTGATTGCTCCATGGAATGAGGTGGTAATCATGGCCTTGGACTGGACTTGTGCGGAGTCTTTCCTCATGAAAATCTTAGAGAGCTCCTTGACTTTCTGAGATATCCAGGCAATGAAGTGGTAGAAGAGAGATGTGGAATGCTGCAGGAGGATGGTAAAGAGTAAATTTGACTGAGTAAAGTTAAAATTATTTCTTAAAATTACATTGGAGAAATAAGAGTGGCGAAATCTAGCTATTTTTCTATGGTTGCTGCATCCAGTAGCCTTGTTTAGCGTAATCCATTCCAATGATAGACTCAGGTATCATCCAAAGGCTGTTGATACCAGCTGTTCATCTCTACCATAAGCCAGTCAAGTAATGCTGTTACTGTATATACTCGAGTATAAGCCTAGTTTTTCAGCCCACTTTTTG